CAAGAGTAAACCTTTTAAAAACCGTTCAGTCCCCTCCAGGCACCCTCCATCTTACAGACTTACCCTGGCCCCCACGTAGAGACCGCCCTGCCTGGCAGGAGCCAGAGATGATGGTGGGAACACAGTCTGGGGAGAGCCCCGTAGGGAGAAAGCCCCGGGCGGCAAGGGCGGAAGGCGGGCGGTGGAGCTTGGCGGGGCCGTGTCCCTCCCTGCAGGACCTCAAGGAGGTTTGCATCCGGAACCAGGACTGCCAGACTGGGTGCTGCCGACGGGCTCCAGACATCTGCGAGTCGCACTGCGCGGAGAAGGGGTCCGAGGGCAGCCTGTGTCAAACGCTGGTGGGTATCGGCGCCTGGGGGGAGCCAAAGGGGAGTCAGGGGAAGGGGGAGCCGGGGCGGGCCAGATTCCTGGGGAGGAAAGAAGGGTAGGTGGGCGGAAATGTCCCGGAGCCTGGAATTCCCCCGTGGGACTGCACCTCCAAGCCTTCTGGGGGAGCCTGTGGACGGAACCAAAATGGCAGCCCACCCTAGGATCTTGGAATCCTGGTTGGGGGCGGGGAAGCGATGCTTCACTCCCTAATGTGGGTTCTCATTCTCCAGGGGTCCTCTCAGCAAATGCCGAAAGTAGTACAGTAAATGGGCACAGCTAGGTCTGGCCTCTGCCCCAGAGCCCCGTCTTCATCCAGTACAGGAGTTCTGCTGTGGCCCCGGGTGTTCCTAGTGGAGGATGGGCAGAGGCAGCCTCTGAGCTGGGTGTGTAGGGGAGGGAGTGGATTTGCCCATAGAAGGATTTAAAGACAAGACATGGAGGCCTTACAATGGTGTGTCCATGGACTTAGGACAGGCAGATGGATCAGTGACAGGCAGGGTTACAAGGGCTGGAGCCGGGAGGGCACTGAGCAATCCAGGAGCCAGCCTGGAGAAGGCAGCCAGAGGTGCCACTCTGAGGAGCTGTCAAGTTATCCTTTATCCCTGGCTCCTGGCTGTGGGCAAGCACGGAGGCCCTGGAGCTGGGCTGGGCTGGGCTTGGGGGCTCAGGGACGAGCTGCCCGCAAGGTCGAGGTCAAAGTCCTGTCTTTCCCAGGCATTCTTTGGCCAATATAGACAGTGTCCCTGCCTGCAGAACCTGACTTGTGTATATTGGAAGAGTGAGAAATGGTCGGCCATTGCCTATGGCCGTTGTCAGAAAATTGGAAGGCAGAAGCTGGCTAAGAAAATGTTCTTCTAGTGCTCCCCCCTTCTTGCTGCCTCCTCCTACACCTGCTGTCCTCCCTACCCAGAGCTCTGTGCTCCGCCCTGTTCCCCAGAGCCTCCGCCCTGAGTGGAGGGAAGGGGGAAGGAGTGATGCGCCATCATTGAAATAAAGAGCTTTTTTAATGTTTGCTGCCCACAGAGTTGGGGCCTGGGTGGGCTGGGCTGGGGTGGGCATGGTGCAGGTTTCGGGGGTGCGGGAGGTGATATGAGGGAGGAAGCAGGAAGGGACACTGTTGGGCTTGGGGTCTTTTCCCAGTTGGTGCATGAATGAAAGTCCCCCAGAGGAGACCAAAGCTCCCTTCCCACCCCAACCCCTTTCTGCCTTCAGCCCACTCTGTAATCTACCCCCCGAAAGCCCAGTTCACACGTGATATTTCAGTTCCACGACCTTAAATTTCAGAAATGTGAAAGAAGGTACACAAAACATCCATGTGTATGAAGAATTGATGATGTTTATGGAGCACTTACTAGATGTTAGGGGCAGCTCCAGGTGCCTTATGCACATGATCTCATTTCGTCCTACAACCAACCTGTGGAGTCTGTCCTGTTATCACCTCTGTTTTGCAGGTAGGGACACAGGGGTTGAGCAACTTGTTCAAGGTCACACAGTTGGAAAGTGCAGAATCTGAATCTTCTGGGAGGCAAGAGAAAAGAGGGACAAGAAGAGAAGAAAGGAAGGAGAGCCTAGGAAAGAGTGAGAAAGAAAGACTGGAGCAGTGACTGTGGTGTGGGGTTGGGGAGAGAATGAGTCGAGTGGAGTTTTAGGGAGTCTCAGTGTGTGGTGAGGCTTCTCGAGTTAGATGATGGCTCGCGTGTTTGTGCGTGGTGCCTGTTATATTCCGGTTACATTTTGGAGTTA